AAAAAATTCGAGGACAAACTCAAAAAATTCGCTTCAATCCACGACTCCACGCTGTCTACCTATCACAGAACATGATAAAGGAATAGTTGCTCCAAGCAGCTTGTGGTTCATGCATTATCAAGCAAACCATCCAAAATCGCAAATGTCACTTGAAGAAACGAGCAGCATACGATTGGAAGGCACTCAAAGTATTCCAACTACCATACATCCACTTATATACTGAGCAAATCACATATGAAATGATTTTACGAAGAGAAAATTAAAATTTTCCAGAAAATTAAGTTTAGTAGGGTAATATAACCAGTAAATTTCTGCTATTAGTGCTTAATAGGGAATAGCCGTAATGACATGACAATAAACAGAGATGTTGTGAGTGATTTCAAACCTGCGCTTCACAAGCAGATGCTAGAAAGGACAAAGTGAAAAATTCTGAACATATGTTAAAGCTAAATCAACACCTTTCAATTATGTACACAGGAGAAACAAAAAAAATCAGCCGGGATCACGACAACGCGGGAACGATTGTGGAAAATTGTGAATGACGACAAATACCTGCACATTGGGAGGGCGAACTCTTCACAAATAGATGAAGAATAACGGAATAGTTTAAAAACGATTAGAGCGTAGCTAGACGAAGAAGCCATCATCATGCCGTGCCGGCCTGACCGTCGCTGATCTAAGCGGCAACGTTGCGGTATCAGATGCTCGCCCCGGCGTGATATTTTGCAATTGGCATAAAGCACTTCTTATGCGCTGATATTCTTCCGAAATCAAGCCTAAAACGCTGCAAACGATAAGAATGCACAAATGAAAAATGGCATCAAACGTACCTATGGCTAACAAATCCAAATGACTTCTCTGAGCCAGATCGCTAATTGTGAAGACACCTTCTTTATTAAGTTTATCCACGCAATGAGTCAAATTTAAAGATCTCATAAAGTCCTCCAAAGTGGGTAATGACGAAGGCGATATACTCATCAGCATCGGACTCGCCAGTGAGCTATTTGGCTTGCCGAACGCACTACTGCTGATACTGAAATGGTTCCATTCTGAACTGATTTCTGAGAGCACGTATATGTGATACTCACTTTACTGTTGAGCTCGCATGCCTTTTTGCAGTAAATGAAACATTGTCCACGTGTATGAAATCTGGATTTTGAGTGTACTTCTCGAGGATAGCGAGAATCTGTGCAAAAGTTGGTCGCTCATGTCGGTCTAGACGCCAACACCACAACATAAGTCGATGCAAGGCAATAGGGCAATCCATCGGTGGTGGCAGTCGATACCCGAGCATAATCTCGCTGATGACCTAGTAATAAGCAG